TATATATATATATATATATATATATATATATATATATATATATATGTATATATATATATATACATAAATACACCCACACCCACACCCACACTCACCCACCCACCCACGCACCCTCCCACATCCAAATAAATAAATAAATAAATAAATAAATAAATAAATAAACAAACAAACAAACATATATATATATATATATCTCTGTCTCAGGTTATCCGCAACATCCGCGTGGTATCTAAACCCTCTCGGGCTATCTGGTTGACAGCAGCAGAGTTGAAGAGACGAACAGAATATAATACGGGGCTGTGGGTTATGCAGACAGCTTGTGGGGTTGTTTCACACAGAGACTGTCTCCGAATGGGGATAGGGGGGAAGATGCTCCTCGCTATAAACAATGGGTATCAGCATTTCTGTTAGGGTTTGTTTCTCTCTCTTTTTTTTTTTCTTTTTTTCTCTCTTTTTTTCTCTGTTTTATTCTCTTTCTTTTTCTCTATCTTTTTCTCTGTTTTTTTCTGTCTTTTTAGCTCGCTCTGGGTCCCTATATAAACCCTAAACCCTAAACCCTAAACCCTAGAGGGTTGTTTCACACAGAGACTGTCTCCGAATGGGGATAGGGGGGAAGATGCTCCTCGCTATAAATAAAGGGTATCAACACTTTTGTTAGGGTTTTATTCTCTTTCTTTTTCTCTTTCTTTTTCTTTTTCTCTTTTTTTCTCTATCTTTTTTCTTTCTTTTTGTCTATCTGTTTCTCTATATTTTTCTCTCTTTTTTTCTCTATCTTTTTTCTTTCTTTTTCTCTGTCTTTTTCTCTCTCTTTCTCTATCTTTTTCTCTCTCTATTTCTCTATCTTTTTCTCTCTTTCTCTCTCTCTTTCTCTCTCTTTTTTTCTCTCTTTTTTTCTCTCTTTTTAGCTCTCTCTGGATCGATATAACTCTCTATATACACCCCAAACCCTAAACCCTAAACCCTAAACCCTAAACCCTAAACGGCGGTTTGTCTCCCATAGAGACTGTCTCCGGATGGGGGGCGAGATGTTGCTGGCTATCAACAGCGTTTCTGTTTGTTTTTTTTTTTCTCTTTTTTTTTTCTCTCTCTTTATCTTTTTTTCTCTCTCTTTGTCTCTCTGTTTATGTCTCTCTTTGTCTCCTTCTGTCTTTGTCTCTCTTTATTTCTCTTTATTTATAAACCCTAAACCCTAAACCCTAAACCCTAGATTGGGGTTTGTCTCACACAGAGACTGTCTCCTCATCGTATAGGGGGCGAGATGGCTATCTCTTTTTCTTTTTCTTTTTCTTTATAAACCCTAAACCCTAAACCCTAAACCCTTTTTTTAAACCCTTATTATTTGCATCGCATACAGACTGTCTCCGCATCGGTATAGGCGGTGGTAGTGCTGCTGTTCTAGTTGCTGCTGCTGCTGCTGTAGTTGCTGCTGCTGTTGTAGTTGCTGCCGCTGCTGCTGNGCTGCTGTTCTAGTTGCTGCTGCTGCTGCTGTAGTTGCTGCTGCTGTTGTAGTTGCTGCCGCTGCTGCTGCTGCTGCTGCTGCTGTAGTTGCTGTTGCTGCTGCTGTAGTTGCTGTTGCTGCTGCTGCTGATGCTGCTGCTGCTGCTGTAGTTGCTGCTGCTGCTGCTGTTGCTGTTGCAGTTGCTGCAGCTGCTGCTGCTGCAGTTGCTGCAGTCTCTTCCGTCTGAGGCTGTCTCTTTCTGTCTCCCATTTCTTTACCCAGGGAGACACCTGTCTCACTCACTGTCTCCTTTTGTCTCCTTTTTGTCTCCTTTTTGTCTCTTTTTTGTCTCCTTTTGTCTTTTCTCTGTCTCTCTCTGTCTCCTTTTGTCTTTTTGTTGTCTCCTTTTGTCTCCTTTTGTCTTTTTTTGTCTCCTTTTGTCTTTTTTTGTCTCCTTTTGTCTTTTTTTGTCTCTTTCACTGTCTCCTTTTGTCTCCTTTTGCCTCTTTAGTGTCTCCTTTTGTCTCTTTCACTGTCTCCTTTTGTCTCCTTTTGTCTCTTTCACTGTCTCCTTTTGTCTCCTTTTGTCTCTTTTCTGTTTCTGTTTGTCTCCTTTTTGTATCGCAATTGCAGCAGCGCTACGCACTGGGCAGCCGCCATCGACTAAACCCTAAACCCTAAACCCTAAACCCTAGCGCTAAACCGTAAACCCTAGCGCTAAACCCTGAACCCTAAACCCTAGCTAGCTAGACCCTAAACCCTAAACCCTAGGTGTGTATTGCCCCCATAGAAGTGTAAATAGCACTAAAAAGAGTAAAGGGGAGAGAAAGGAGACAAAAAAAGAGACAAAAACGCATGCAGAAGGAGACAGAAAAAACTTTTATAATAACGAAGGCTCAGGTGTCTCCTTTCTTATAATCTCACTTCTTTCTGTCTCCTTTTGTCTCTTTTTTTTTTTTTCTTTTTGTCTCCTTTTGTCTCTTTGTTTCTGTCTCTGCATATACACTATTATATTTATCTCTGTCACCAAACCCTAAACCCTTAAAAACCCCAAACCCTAATATAAACACTCTCATCCTCAGCATGCATGAGGTGTACATACACCCCGTACAGGGTGTGGGGTGTACATACACCCCCTACAGGCTGTGGGGTGTGGGGTGTACGTGCAGCTCGTGCAGGATGTGGGGTGTACGTACACCTCTTGTAGCTGGCTAAATATAT